GGCCCTGGCGCCGCGTCAGGACGCCCCGCTTGTTACCACACCTCGGCGGATTCTGGACCCGCGGACAGGCCGTGTAGGGCTGTTCCCTGAGGCTCAGAGCCCCCCTCCGCTGCACCGCTGGACGGGTCTGGGAGCTACGCGCTGTGAGCTACAGTGTGGACCAAGCAGATTCAATGAACACATCTCCAGACACTGACAGAACAGCCACCTGTCTCCCCTCTCGCCACTCAAAGTCACACTCACCTTCTAAGAGTTTTAAAGCAAATAGAATCAACACAAAGTCTACAGACATTTACAGCTCCGACATGATACAACATTTACATACAGCACATAGAGCAGTACTGGGAGACGGGCTCACTGTCTGTCCTCAGGCTGTGACAGGAGATCACACGCTGGGCTGCAGCTCTATTGAGTTTCCTCTCCCAGTAGGAACAGAAGCTGATTCTGGCAGGAGTGGGAATTCTGGGATTAGATTTCCCAGATCCCAGATTCCCAGATTAGATGGGTTATTTCAGGGAGGAATGTTTGTGTAATTCCAGAGTATTTCTCACAGTGCAGCAGAAAGTGCAGCTCTGTCTCTTCTTCTCTCTGCTGGCAGTGGGAGCACAGCGTGTGTGTCCCAGGGGGTGAGGTAGTGGTGTTTGGCTTGTGCTTTGATTTGGTTGACTTTTCCTTTCTCCCCTCTCTCTCTCGTCTATTCTCTGTCTCCTCTCTCCTCTCCCTCCTCCCTCTCTCTCTCCTCTCTCTCCTCTCTCTCTCCTCTCTTTCTCCTCTGTCTATCTCCTCTCTCTCCTCTCTCTCCTCTCTCCTCTCTCCTCTCTCCCCTCTCTCTCTCCTCTCTCCCCTCTCTCTCTCTCGTCTCTTTCTCCTCTGTCTCTCTCCTCTCTCCTCTCTCTCTGAAGGTTTCCTCCTGCTGCTGAGGAGCTCCAGACTGCAGGCTGCAGGCCCCGAGCTGGCGTGCCGTGTGCTTCAGATGGAGGTGATAAAGCTGTTGATATTCACAACAGAGGGCCAGGTGGGGGGGGGGCAGGTGATGGGGTTCTGGGGGGTGGCACACCTCTCGCTGTGTTTTGGGCTGGCGCAGATCGCCGCTGTGTTTACCCTGTCAACAGCGGCCTGCCGCCTCACGCCCCGGGCACACTCCACCTGCAGTCCCGTTATTCCCGAGCCATTCCCGAGTCCCATGAGGGCAGGGCACCCACGCCTGGGGTTGACTCACCGGGGCGGGTGACCAGGCCCAGGCTGAGAGGGGGCACCCCCACCCCAACTAAACTAAATGAGCTGCAGGGACAGCTCCACAGCTGCAGGCGTTCAGAGCATTGTGGGTAACCGGAGGGGCGGCTGTCCT